TGCATGTAATATATTTTATATGAGTCACATTTAAGAACATGTCTCCTGAAATGGTTTTCAAAACTGTCCTAGAGCAGCCCAGCACTGTCTCACCCGATTTAACTCGTAAGACCTGAAGTGTGTCAGAAAAGGTAAAGAGAGTTGAGAGAAAATATGAGCCGTGTCAGATCTGCGTCACGTTCAGCAGCGGCAGCTCTTAAAGTAATAGCAGCCAAAACAAACTAATAACCAGCTGCTGTGATGTCTGTCAATCAAAGGAAAAACTAAACATTTGGAAATCACTTTTATAGCTTTAAGGATTCATCTATATTTAATTTAGAATTTAGTGTTTGATAACTTCAATTTCAATTTCTGTATATTTCTGCTGAAGGGCACAGGTAAATATGACATTTATTATAATGGGTTTATGTGAAGATTGTTTTAAGTTCACTTAAAGTAAAAGTTATTTTTTAAAGTCTAATAAATGTTAATATTGATAGCTCTCAATTATACTGTAATGTTGAATGGCTATAGTCAATGGTTAAATATTGGGGGGAAAAAACAATTTCCTGGAGACATCAGTAGTATTGATATCAGTAGCCGGGTTTCCATCCAAAGTTGCGAATTTAACTTATGCGCAATACTGGAATATCGCATAAAACGATAGCATCCCAACGAGTCGAAGAGAACAAAATCGTCACTTTCTGATAAATTGGCACTATACATCACTAAGTAGGAGAATAGGAGAATATTCATATATAATAAATTACTTGCGCCTCAGAGCGAGCAGACGAAACACAATGAATGCAGTCATTGTTTTCGGAGGTGGATGCTGCTGTTTGGGAATGCAGTCGTGTAAGACAATTATACAGAACTACTTTGATGACAGACTTTTGCTCGCGGTGTTCGGCCAATCACAATGCACTGAGCCAGCTGGCCAATCAGAGCAGACTGCGCTTGTCAGAAGGAGGGACTTTGTAGAAAACTAAGCGTTTGAGAGAGAGGCGGGACTTACAATAATGTACAGTATTTGAAAAATAATGTGTTTTTTGAACATTAAAGCATGTCAACATATTCTGTTACACCAAATACACAAAATAATGATCTTTAAAAAAGCATCATATGACCCCTTTAAAGTTATTTCAGTTAATTTCCAAGGCAACATTTTGCATTTTTATTTAGTTTAACTTGATGTTCTAATATAACTAAAACTGAAATAAAAATGAATAAAAAAAACATTTTTAAAAACAACAAAAACTAATAAAAATGACAAAAACATGAACATTAAGATGAAAGCATAACATAAATAAAATCAAATTGAAAATATTCACAAAAACTACAATGAACTCTTCTCACAAGACTGTGATGATGCGTTTAACGGTCATCAGCATCGTAAATCCTCGATAGTTTTTTATTTAGATTTTTTTTTTATTAATGTACATATATAACACTCAGTGAAGAACTGTGTGTGTGTGTGTGTGTGTTTCAGTGTGATTCTGGACAGTCCTGTGACGGAGCAGGAGTTTCTGGAGCAGCTTCATGAGCTCAACAGCAAGATCAACTATGCTAAAGAGCTCAGCTTCAGAGAAACCCTCGCCTGCTCCGACATACAGGACATCGTAGATCGCCTCAAAATTAAAGTCAGAGCACATGCAAGATTCTACAGCGATCCCATCATTCTTGATAACAGAACAGATGCATTGAAAATGAATGCTACTGAGTTCTCTCTCTGCTCTGATCCTGTTCACAGGCCGTCTCAAAGATCCGTGAGTTCATCCTGCAGAAGATCTACTCCTTCAGAAAGCCCATGACCAACTACCAGATCCCTCAGAACACCTTACTCAAGTTCAGGTACACAGTTACACTACAGTGTGGATTAACATGCACTTTTATATATATATATTGTATATATATATATTAGGGGTGTAACGGTACACGTAATCATACCGAAAATTTTCGGTCTTTCGGTTCGGTATTGTCACACTTCACTCGGAGCACGGAACGAGGAGACACGGAGATAGCTTCAAACCACAGTCTTTTAATAATCCAAACACAAGGGGTACGTAGGAGACACAGGAACACATAGAATGACGTTCAGAACCGACAAACACTGACTGAAAGGACTCGGGCTTTTAAACACAGGATAATTGGGGGAAGAACTAGACACACCTGGAATTAAATGAACACAATCAATGGGGAAACAGAAACTGGGTCACAGGGAGCAAAAACACACACAGACAGGTCCATAACCCTGACAGGTATACACGTGTACAGAATAAATCATTCAATTTTTTCAGGAAATTCAGACGTTTGGGCACTCTTTGATGTGGCGAGGTAGATCGCTGAATAGGTGCATCATTTCAAACTGCAGCACGGTGAGCGCGATCATCTCTTCTTCTTTACTATAGTTTTAATGCAAAATAAACATGAATGAACATCTCATGCCTCTGGTAATCGCACATCCAGTGTTTCACTCGTGGAAAGATGTGATTAAAAGAGTTTGTAAACAAAATGTGACGTAGCGTTTCATTTACCTCAGGCAAGTCATCAGTGTCCACAGCTATAATTATAAATAATTACATATAAATATTAGACTATATTCTCATTATATTTTACTTTACCTGTTAGTGATGTCTTAATCATTTAAAGTATATTTAAATAAATCTTTTATGAAACAAGTTATGACAGCCACTGTGTAAATTATTATATTTCAACAACAAATATATTAATTGTATAATTTAGAAGTTCATTTAAAAACTGCATTGAGTGCAGTTTGCATACAATTTTTTTTTTTTTTTAATTTGAGTGTTGATTATTAAAGTTAAAAATAAATAGTAGCTAATTAAATTTAAGTTTGGGCTTAACCTTAAGTAATTGTAACCTTATAGTAATGTAAAAGAGATCCCTATAGTTTAGAGCAGAAGCTGAGGTAATTTTTTTTTTTTTTAATAATGTAGATTTAAAGAAAAGTTTAACTATAATTGAATTTATTTAAAGAAAGAGCAATTTGTTCTGTAAAACATTGTTTAATAAAAAAACAATTTATGTTTAGTATGTTTTCCTCCTGCTGTACCGAAACTGAACCGTAACGTCAAAACCGAGTTTCGTACCGAACCGTCATGTTTGTGTACCGTTACACCTCTAATATATATATATATATATATATATATACACACAGTAATTAACAGGAAAATAGTTATTGGAGAATGCAGAATTTGTCTTTGTCCCTGCACTTTCAGTTCAACCCAATTATGCTGTGCCATTCCCACTTTAACACAAGCTGTTTCTCACATAAAGGATTGTTAAACATCAAAATAACATGAATGTAAAGGTTGCCACAGAAACTCTTGAAAGAGAAAGGTAATGAGTTATTATTAATTCTTAATAATCATAAATATAATATTTGTCGTCCACTGGTCTGAATGACTCTTTGGTAGACCCACAGTTACAGCCCTGGTCCTGACCTGCGATTAACAGAGCCTTTCTGAAATAAAATAATAACAAAAATAAATGGATTCAAGAATCCTGCTATTTCCTGAGACTGAAGTACAGGTGACACCATAACAAATAAGAATAATATCTAATGGAAACACAGTCATTGCACAGCATTTATAGTATTGTCTCCACTTTTAACGACTGACCTTTTCTTGTTTCTGTTGAGTGAGATTATGGATGTGTTTCTGGTCATCTGCAGGTTTTTCTATCAGTTCCTGTTAGCCAATGAGAGGACAGTCGCTAAGGAGATCCGGGACGAGTACGTGGACACCATGAGCAAGATCTACTTCAGTTACTTCAAGTCCTACAGCGGCAGACTGCTGAAAGTCCAGGTGACAGTCTAAATCACTGACTGGATGAGTTTAGATTGAGACATGCAGTGTATTTATTCATCTCCAAACCTCATCTCTAAAAAATAGGGGTGTTTCAATTACGACTATCATGTCAATGATTCGATTCAATTTGATATCACGATGCATCACGGTTATATCAAATCTATTTTGCTACTTTTAAAAATAATTACAAGTTAATAATAAATCTAACCAATTGTTAAGAATTTAACCAAATAAATATGTCAACAACATCAATGCAGGATCGTCCGCATAGCGATGCATCGATCAATTCAAACCTAAATAGCAGACTGTTCTCACATCATGTACAGTGTAGGTCAAAAACACATACTGTAAACGAAGGTCTACTTTTCACTGTCTCTTCATATTAAACTGCGATTCGATTCAATTTGATATCACGATGCATCACGGTTATATCAAATCTATTTTGCTACTTTTAAAAATAATTACAAGTTAATAATAAATCTAACCAATTGTTAAGAATTTAACCAAATACTGTAAACGAAGGTCTACTTTTCACTGTCTCTTCATATTAAACTGGTTAAATGTACATTCAATTAATCGTACCCTGCGATACATGAACAGTGTTGATCCTGCATGTTGTCATCCGCGATCGTGACGACCGAAACATGAGGCTTCTCGCGCTTGCATTGTGATCTGTAAACCCTCGCTTCCAGATTAATCGAGTAACACACCATATTTTAGGCAGCTGTGTTCCTGATGGCAGTGGCCTCTTTCTGTAGGATAATGCACCCTGACTTGAATTGGAATTGTGACTGATCGGTGTATCTTGACCAAGAAGAACATAAAAGCTGACTTGAACAGGCCTGTTGGAGTTCTGTGAGAGTGTTTTATGGAGTGATGTGACTCAGCTGGAACTTCTTGGACTCATGAATTAGCAGTACTGTATGTCTGGTGCAAAAAAGGCAAAGCTGATGAGCAGAAGAACACCATCTCCTCGGAGGAGAAGCAGTCTTGTTATGGGGAAGCTTTACTGTTGCAGGAAGTGAAAGTCTTGACTGTATGAAGCACATCATGGATTCTCTGAAGTACCAGGCCATTTTGTCAAAGATTGTGATGTCTTTGGTGCATCCCACAGTATTCATCCATTCTACTGAAGCTCTCGGTTCAGGGGTTGAATGTTCTTGAGTGGCCTGTTCAGTCTCAAGATTTAAATCTCATTAAAAATATCAATAAAAATGTGAATGTTTAGATTTTTTTTAAATGAACTTTACATTCTCAAAATCACTGAAATGTTTGAACATTTTGTTTATGGCATCAGAATGTCTTGCAGGTCAAGACAGTGGAATCATTTTGATTGCAACTCTATGTATATATGTGCGTATGTATTTTTCATTCTCTCTCTCTTGTTGTCAGTATGAAGACGTTGCAGACAAGGATGATCTGATGGGGGTGGAGGACACAGCCAAGAAAGATATCCTTCAAATCTGACCACAGTCACATAGAATTAGCACACCAGAGGACTCACTTCAAGATGAATAGGAAGACAGTAAACATATTTCCTTTTGGCTTTGGTGGAGAAAGGCGTTTGCTTTTCACTGTAGCGTTATAATGTGGTTGATTTCTTTAACTGCTAAGCAGGCTTTTTCTCCAAGCCTTCTCTCAAGAGCAGGAACACAATTTTCACTCTTGGCCAGAGGGGGGCGGTATTGAGTCCTGCGGAGCTGGAGGGTCCCATACTGATCCCACACGCCGCTCAGAGAGGAGACTCCAGAGTGAGACACTCATCTTCTGCTTTACAGCGCTAGCCCTAAGAATTCAACTCTGGCTAACTCGTCTAGCACTGTCTGTGTGCCGGGCAGCAGTCATATTTCAGCTCGTTTCAGACTAGTTTTTTCCCTGGCAAAATGAACAACAAAACTTCCCGTAGACTTACATCGAGCCGTATCTAGAGACCAGAACATTATAGTAACATGCTAATGAACATAGCTATCATGATTTTTGCAGCCTAACATGACTGGATTTTCTCAGAAATTGCAGCAATGTTTGCAGCATTTTTTGTTTTGCAGTGGAAACCCTACTTAGTGTAAATGTGTAAATACTGAATTTGTAATAATAGTCCCTCATACAGATGGCAGTGCTGATAATCAGCATAGAATCATAATATATATATATATATTTAAAACACTGCAGAAATCAAACAAAAATGCAAGCTTTAAATTCTGCGATTGTGAAATCCGGGAGGGACTGGCACACACACACACTTATTCTCCATAAACCGTTGTGTTTATTACTGTAGCAGTGTAGTCTGTGATCTGTCTCTCTCTGTCTCGGTCAGTACCCATACGAAACGCTCTTCCGCAGTCAGTACTACGCTCTGCTGGATAACGGCTGTCGAGAGTTCCTCTTCCTCTCGGACTTCTTCATGGTGGCCGGAAACTCTGCTCTGGATTTGTTCAGTAGCATTATGGGAAAAACACTCAGCATGTTCCTGGTACAGTCACGCTCTTATTACATGATATTCTCACATCTCCAGTGTTTTAGTAATGCAGTTTGCAAACAAAAAGTACAACCACCCCAAATACCCTAGCAACCGCATAGCAATACCTTAGCAACTACCCAGAGTACCATTGCAACCACATAGCAACACCTTAGCAACCACCAAGGGTACCCAAGCAACTGCATAGCAGCACCTTATCAACCGACCCGGGTACCCTAGCAACCACCTAAAAACACCTTAGCAACCACTCTGGGCACCCTAGCAACCACATAGCAACACCCTAGCAAGTGACCTGGGTACCTTAGCAACCGCATAGCAACACCTTATCAACTACCTAGAGTACCTGAGCAACCACATAGAAACACCTTAGCAACTGCCCCGGGTACCCTAGCAACCTCATAGCAACACCTTAGCAACCAACCCGGGTACCTTAGCAACTGCATAGCAACACCCTAGCAACCGACCCAGGTACCCTAGCACCCACCTTAGCAACCACCCCAAGTACCCTAGCAACCGTCTGAATACCCTAGCAAGCACTCTGTATTACATTTGTAATAGTTTTTTTTATTGAACATTGTCCCATTGCATTTTTGTCTCTTTTCTCTGTCTGTAGAAGAATCTGTCCACATACCTGTCAGACTGTTATGACAGTATTGCGGTGTTTCTCTGCATTCACATCATCCTGCGCTTCAGAGCCATCACAGCCAAGAGGAACATCCCCGCGCTCGACAAGTCAGTCCCTCTGTCATCACAAACGATCTGTAGAGAGCATGCTTGTCTGCTCTTACTCTGTCCAGTCCTGTGAAATGTACAAAATGAAAATTCAGCTATCATCCATGATACAGTATTGGTCTTTTTTAACAATTCATCCATGCATATGTTTAATTTCTTTTTTTGGGGTTTTATTGGTTAGGGCAGTAGGGCTGGGAGCAGAGCCTGTGAGACTATTGGCAACAACATGTTTTTTTTTTTTTACCTTATAATTTTTAACCAAAACCTCATAACACAACCCACTTAATCTGTGAACTTTGCTGGGTATTGCTACCAACTCACAAGCCTGTTTGGCAGTTTAACAATCTTAAATGATGTTGTATTAGTTTGCATGCCATCAGAGCCAGTCCTGACATTAGCAAAACAAAACGTGACGCTCCATTACACTGGAGATGAGACGAGAGGCCACATTTTCAACACGTTCTCACTCCCTATAGGCATCCTGTGTTGCATGTCTAAGACTTTTTACAGACTTTTAGTCAGGACTTTTTTCACTATACAGACATCAGGCATGCCCTTGAGCATCTTTAATGCACCACTGCTGGGAAACCCATTGCTTTCCATGGGAAACATATTCGGTTGGCTTTTTTTAATAGATGTCAGTGGTGGAAATGTCTGGTGGAGTGTTTTGTGAGGAAACAGTTGAATGTTTTGGCATTGACAGCCTGTCCGCTAGTCTTCAGCATGCTTAGCTTTAAATATTCATTTCAGAGTGAGCTACAACAAAATAAATGCTGTTTATAAGAGAAGTCAATGAGAATTTTGCTACAGGTAACAAGAGTTGACTGTCAAAATACAGTCAACAACATTTTTTTGTCTCGATAATGTTTGATGTGTGTGTGTGTGTGTGTGTGTGCAGGTACTGGGAGGCTGTGCTGGAGCTGCTGTGGCCCAGATTTGAGCTGATTTTGGAGATGAACATCCAGAGCATTCGAAACACTGATCCTCAGAAACTGGGTGTGCTGGACACCAGACCACACTACGTGTGTATCCTCACACACACACACACACACACTCACGCTCTCTCTCTCTCTCTCTCTCTCTCTCTCTATTTATTTATTTATTTATTTATTTTTTTTATAGAGTATTTCACAAAGTGTTTTAGCTGTAAAACTAGCTCCTAAATCTGTGAAAGGTTAGGAGTAGTGAAGAGGACTCCTAAGTCACTAAGACCAAGCCACAAACTATCCTAAAATAGCTGTTATTGCCGGCAATCTGCCTCGTAACAGAAATATTATAGAAACATTTGATGATAATGAGCTTTTAAAAAGGTATCACCTTTGGTTTTGGAGGTTATCCCAACTCCAAATGTTCCTTTGATAATATCCTTGTTTTCATTAAGCAGTTGGGCAAGACGTAACAGCTGTTCTTGCATCCAATTTTTCTTTTTTGTTTGCATGTCTTACTATCAGCCATGATTATTCCACTCTATTAATTAGAAGGCTGTTTATGTGCATATTCACTAATTATGAGAAGCACACATGTAAGAGGCTGACAGTTAGCTGAACATATACTTGTTTAATTAGTGACACTTTCTTTGAATGTGGCAATTAGCAGTTTTATTTTAAAACCTTTATTTGAATACGGCTACATAATATGGCGCTCTACAATATTTCTATGAATAAATCTCTGACCGAGACTATCAGCCAATCACTGTGTGCATAGTTAGTAAGCATGATGCAGCGAGCTCAACCCCGCTCTTACTCTGAGCTTAAGACTTCTCTCTCTTCCTCAGTACAAGTTTGTCTCAGAAAGCTCTCAGCTCTGTTATTTAGGAAAGCTGTCAGTGGTGAGATCAGATGTTTTGCGACGCTGACCGCTGCTGTGATCTGGTTTCAGGTGGAGGTGGAGAACTTCGTGCTGAAGATGGCGGCTGAGTTTCCCTCTAGACGAGACCAGCTCATCTTCCTCATCAACAACTACGACATGATGCTCGGCGTGCTCATGGTGACGCTCCTCACGAGACACGCCGCTAACCATTACCACTGTGTTCTAGTCCAGACCGCACCGTGATGTGTGTGTGTGTGTGTGTGTGTGCAGGAGCGAGCAGCGGACGACAGTAAAGAGGTGGAGGGCTTCCAGCAGCTGCTGCTGGCCAGAACACAGGTCAGGAGCAGCAGCTCACACAGCGCGAGTAACTGTGAGTGAGTAACTGTGTGAGTAACTGCTGTGTGTCGCTCTGGAACAGGAGTTTATCGAGGAGATTCTTTCTCCTCCGTTCGGAGGGATGATTGCATTCGTGAAGGAGAGCGAGGCACTCATGGAGAAAGGGCAACTTGACAAACTCCGAACCGATGAAGGTGAGTGCTGGAGCTGCTGTGTTCACTGTCAAGGGTTACGTCAGACTGCTCATCGTGCGTCTCTTATTCTGTGATTCCTTTTTGAGTCTGTCTTTTTTTGTTGTTTTTTTTGGATAACGGGCTAGTTCAACGCAAGATTGTGTCCTAATTTTCTCACATCATTCAAAACCTATGAACTTTCATTCATCTTTGGATCGTATTCTTTCGAAATCTTTTTTGTCCATCATTTGAAAATCAGAATTCTCAAGCTTGGTTTAATCCGAGTTCTCTAAAGAGGCACAGCTTATTTTTCAAGATTTCTATGCTTTACAGATGCTCAAACGCGTAGTGAGGTTTGTTCTCACACAGTTGAGCTTCTGTTTGCCGTGTCTTTATGTACTTCTTGAAGATTTTGATTCAGTGGATGGACAAAAATGATGAGAGATTACAATATATTCATTTGGGTTGTTAAGATGAACAGAAGTCTTGTCGATTTGGAATGACATGAGGGTAACGATGACAGAGTGTAAATCTTAAATTTAAGCTGTGGTGTTTGCTAGTTTGAATGGTTGCATTTAGTTGAAGTGCTGTTAAATGCTGGAATGATTGACAGTCACCTCATCATTACTGAAACAGTTTATTAAACCGTCACGGTTCATCGCTGGCACTTCCATGCAAAAGTTTGGGATCTGTAAGGTGTTTATTATTGCTGCTTTGAAAGACATTTAAAAAAAAAAACTAGATTGAATAAAATATTTAATACGACAGTCTCAATTAAATGCTGCTATTTCTGTTCATCAGTGTTCTGCTCCTCTAACAAATCCTGAAAAAAAGCAATTATTTTGAATTAGAATTTTTCACAATAGTACAGTTTGTACTGTGTTTTTGATCAAATAAGCCTTGGTGAGCAGAAGGGAATTCTTTTAAAAGTGTTAACCTTACGCTCCCCAAGCTTTGGAATCCTATGGCAATGTGCTCATGAAACGATGAATGGCCCCAGCAGCGCAGACGTGAAGTGTTATTGAGCCTCTGTGTGTGTGTAGCTCGTATCACGCAGCTGGTGCGGGGTTTCTCAAGCTCGTGGAAGCAGTCTGTGGAGGCCCTGAGTCAAGACGTCATGCGCTCCTTCACCAACTTCAAGAACGGAACTAGCATCATTCAGGTACAGTCTCACCAAATAACACATTTACAGACCTCACAGCTCATAAACATGCTGTCAAACCCATGAATGGTTGTCTTCTCAGGGAGCGCTGACCCAGCTCATCCAGTACTATCATGGTTTCCATAAGGTCCTCTCCCAGCCGACCTTCCGCAGTCTAGCAGTGCGCTCCGAGCTCATAAACCTCCATCATCTGATGGTGGAAGTCAAGAAGCACAAGCCAAACTTCTGAAGTCGCACTTGAATCTTGAAACTGTTTTAGCTTATCAGGTAAAAGTTACTGAAAGATGTTTTTTTTTGTTTTTCCTGGAAATCAAGGTTGATTTTCAGTAGTTGAGTATTTTGAGCACTAATCTTTTTATTTGGTCAGTCTTTTGTTTTTGGTTTGCTGATTATGGGCTCTTTTTCCATTAGATGCATTTGTAATTTCATCTTTAATATGATTTGATTTCTTTGAATGTTTCATCTGTAAATTCAGTTGCAGCTTCTCTAAATGTTTTTGTGTATAAACTGGCGTCTTTTTGGTTTCTCACTCACGTCTCTGAAAGTATGTGTGCACTGTTGCCATATTTAAGTTATAACGAAGAAAAGCATTCCATGTCTCGAAATAAAACATATAAGATTGAACGTCTCTGAAAATGTCCCCATCCTTTTGTTAATCCATTAAAGCAAAAACAAAAAGAAAATTGCTAAAAAAAAAACAATTGCTAACTTTTACTACAAATTGTTATAAGAAGCCACATGCATTTAGCTGTGGAAGTTAATATACCTTAAACCTAACCATTTATTGCTCATTTATGGAGTCTCCATTTAGGAGTGCTGATGTTGACCATTTTTAAATAAAGTGCCATTTTATTACTTGTTTACATACTCTGGTCTTAACAAGTGAACCCACACACACACACAAGCTTGCATCACTGCTTCACCAGTCTAATTAGATCACAACTAACTTGTGTTACACAATTTAATTTCAATAAAATTTACAGTCGAATTTACAAATTACTTTACAGAATTTAGTTGTACTTTCTTAATCGCTAAATTAGGGCTGCACGATTATGACAAAAATCGTAATTGTCGATTATTCCCTTGAAATTGTAATTGCGATTATTAATTACGATTATCACAATTTACATTGAATGATGTTTATACCATTGTTTTCTATAGCATGCTGTATTTTTATATGAAAATAAACAAGCTGAAAACACTAACTGAAAAACCTTTAGTGCTTTTCTGTAGTTTTAAGCCTAGAATGTCAAATATACATCGGATTGGTTTCTTCTTTAAATTATAAAAAATTTTAAAAATATGAATGGTATTATAATGTTATACTAAAACAATGGAAAAACCCTTAAGATAACATGTAGAAAGAAAAAAATATCTTAAGCGTGCAGAATAACATAAGTGGACTTTTAATGATTAATTGCCGCTTTGAACGATTACGTATGTAGTGTCTTGACCAATCTGACACACTAATTTTTATTTGATTTAACAAATCAATTATTCATTAGATTAACAAATCGTCACAGTCCCCTCACTCAATAAACTGGATGCCAGGATTTCTGCAAAACACCAGGCCCCCTGGTCACCCTGACAACTAATGATATCACTGGTTTTATGACCCCCCCCCAGGAATGTGAGTAGAATAACCCACTCATTGTCCCCATAGGAAAGGCAGAGTAGAAATGGACTTTTCTACTAATTAATTCATAGGAAAACCTTTCTTTGAATGAACACACATGATCCTTCAGGTCATTGTGTATATTATTGTCATCGTGTATTTTGTCTTTGAAATTGTATACTGTGATTCAGGTTTATAATCGAAACACACTCCTGTCATCCTTTCACTATTTGTAATCCTACCTTGTCTAGTATCTAT